CCTCGAAGCCCGGAAGCCTCGAAGCCCGGAAGCCTCGAAGCCCGGAAGCCTCGCAGAGAAGCGGCAAAACCGGGCCCGCGCAGCCAGGTGCCAAAACCGAAGCCGTGCGGCCTACAACGAACTAATCCGCGCGGCCGAAGGCAAGGTGGGCCCAGACAACGAAAGGCGACCCGGCCATCCCGGCCCGTGCCGGCTCGAGCTAGCCGGGCGGGCGCGAGGCCAAACTAACCCGGGGCCCAGCTAGCCCGGCGTGGCTCATGCGACGGCCAGCCAGCCGGCAGGCGCGAGGCCATAGCCAAGCGGGCCGATGTCGCGGGGCGCTGCAAGTCCGCCACCCAGCGAGCTCCACTCTTCGCGCCCGCGGGCCGCTGCGCTTTCTTCAACAGAAGAGAGGCAGCAGTGGCGAGCTGCGGGCGGGTTTCCTTGTCATCCTTCGCACTTTTTTTTTTTTGGATCGTATCCCAATAAGATTCGCGTGGGTCGTCCTGTCATCTTTGCGCTTCTATTTATTTTTTCATCCTCTATCTAGCGGATACTTGTTTTACATGTCAACCACGTACAGGCGGAGCTTCTGGAGGCTAGTGAGGCACTGCAGGCAAAGCCTCAGCCTGCGCAGGGGTGTTTTTGTGTAGCCGCTTAGCATAGCAGAGGCCTTCGATGTAGGCGTAACAGCATGAAAAATCTCCGGTATGCAGCGGCGGACTCTTTGGATTTGCCCCCTCGCAAGAGAGGCAGGATTTGTGGTCACAAATCAGCATCACAAATTTTTAGCAGCGTGCCTTTTCAGTATGGGGAGGGGGAATTTTTCCTCTCAATAGGTTCGGGTAGTTATTCGCGTTCGCGTCCGCTTCGGTATGCTGTGCAAAAGTATCGTACTCGTATAAATGCAGGTCTTGCATTACAAATTTCTTTGTCAAGGCAAATCAGCATTACAAATTTCATTTCTCATGCTGAGAAAATTTGTAAATGCATTTATACGAGTACGATACTTTTGCAGTTCATATTCGGCGTCGTGGAACAAGTGCCAGGAGGTTAGGTCCCCGCGGACCACGATCGTGTAAAAGCCGACGGCGTTGTAGGTGTGCGCCGCGTTGTTGTCGTTCCCAGCCCCATCCAGATACTGGGGGTCCTTCCGCCGCCAGGCGGCGCCGCTGTTCCAGTCCTCGTCCCAATACAGGGTGTAGCCGTTGATCGACTTGTCGTACTTCAGGGGCAGGCGGACTGTGGTGGGGGCGCTCGTAATTTGCACCGTCAGCCGAATGGCGTCGTCGGCTTTTCCGCACTGCGGGTCCGTCATCTGACTCCGGTTGAAGAACTGCCAGTACTCCCGCTTGTCCGACCAGGAATGGTGTTCCGCGAAGTCCGCGGCCAACGGTCGCGCGTAGTACTGCAACAGGGAGGCCTGTGCATGCGCATTACTGACCACTGCGTTATCCACGTCGTAGTAGCTGCACCGCGACCCCAGCGTCCCAGTGTTCTCGAACACTCGGGTGCTCGTCGCGGTATCTTGGTCGTGGTTCCAGTCATTCAGATTGGGCGTCGCACAGTACGCGTTCCGAAACATGTGCTTCATGTCGGTCACACTCCTGGTGTCCCAGAAGGACACGCAGGGGTTGGCCCGGACCGCCCCGTCAAACATGAAGGACGCGTCCCGCAGCTTGCTGCACTTCCAGTGGAACACCTGCGGGTCGGCGTTGGTGCTGTCTTGGAACATGGCTTGGAAGGACGTCGTATCAACTGTAAAAATGTCTGCGTCCTCTGGAAGAATCCAACTTGTGATGCTGATTTTGGAATTTGAAAAAATCTGTATTGCATGAGCAGCAGAGAGAGTCCAAGTTTTGCTACACGGAAAGAGCATTTGTCATGCGGTATAGGCATCAGGAGGCCCTCACAAAATCTGTGACGCTAGGGCATGCATCACAGACATCAGGAGTCATGCAAAATGTGCATGACAAGCCTGGCAATCTTGATCTTCCAGACCCAGACATTTTTACATTTGATACGTCGCAGACTCCGTGTTCCAGTTTTTCGTGTCCGGGTTGACTTTGGCGGTATCAAATGCAAAAATGTCTGGGTCTGGAAGAATGCGCGACTTGTCATGCAGCTTTTCCATGACCCATCAGGCCTGGAATGCAGGACTTAGCATGACAGATTCTGCGCGATCTCTCTCATGCCTATCCTGCATGAGAAACTCCCTTCCGACTTGGTCAAAACTAGGCGACTTTTGGTAATCACGCAACACAGATTTTTGCATGTTTCAGATTTAGCATGACCAGTTGCATTCTTCCAGACCCAGACATTTTTACATTTGATAGGCGGTGTGGGAAAACATGTTCGCAAACGTCCGCCCCTGGCCCGTGTCCCAGAGCGCAGTGTCCGGCTGCGCGGAGACGGCAAAGTCGAAGAGAAGCGAGAAGTCCGTCACGAACTGCGTCTGCCACAAGGTCGTGTTCGGGTTGGCGAAGGGGGCCTGGTAAAACATGCCTTGCAGATTGTCTACGCCGGTGCTCAGCCGTCGTATGCTGGACGTCGATAGCTGCCGTCCCCGCCGCAACGAAGAAGCCGAAGCGGCCTGCTGCTCATCCTCGTTGATCGGGGTGAACCAATGCTTCAGATCTTCGCTAGACCCCGGCTCAAACCGTACCTTCGTTTTTGCGAACGCGTGCGACACATTTCGAACGCCGCCGGATACGACCCACTTGTCCAGGCCAAGAACTTTCTCCAGCACGATGCAATCCTCGAACATGGAGGAAAAGTCGGTGATTCGGGACACGTCCCAACCGGTACCGTTCACCAGCACCAGGCGGCGCGCGCCCGCGAACATGCCCTTCATCGACCGCAGCAGGGGGTTCTTCAGTGCGTCGCCGAACAGCCCCGCCAGCGGCAGCCGCTCCAGGTTGACGCAGTCGCGCAGCAGGTTTGGGAGCAACAACGAGCCGTACTTGCCCATGCTGCTGATCGTGGACATGGCCGCCTTGTAGTTCTTGATCTGCTGGTTGATAGGCTTGGCAATCGCGGCCTTCGAATCGAACACGGCGGGGGACGAGACCAGGCCGGCATCCAGTTGGTTGTAAACCACGTGGCCCTCCTCATCGGCGTCCGTCGCGTTGTAGGTCATGTTCAGATAGGGTGGCGGCTCGTGGGACCAGGGGTCGATCTTCCCCCGGATGGTGACCGTGTAGTTCCCGGGTGCTTGGTAGGTGTGCACGTGTCCGCGGAGCCGAAACAGCTGGGAGGTGTTGGTCGCGGCCGGCATCTCCACGGGCGCCGCCCCCGGGGCCGCCGTGCCGCGCGCTTGGTCAAACCAGTCGTACGCCTTCACCGACATCTGCGAGATAAAATTCGAGCTCGCCACCACGTCCTCGAACCGGTCCTGCTCCTTGGACCCCTCCTCGCCCCAGTAGACCGTGACGCGGTTTTCCTGGCTGAACAGGTCGAAGGGGAGCCGCACCGTCGTTTGCCCGGGCTCCCGCAGGTTCAGCGCGAGTCGGAAGGGGTCGTCGTCGGGACAGGTGAGGTCCAGCCTATGGGGCTCTCAAACGTTACATTCTCAACTGTTACATGATTTGTCATGCAGCATGACCATGAGCCGCAAGACGATCAAGCTGCTTCGCATGACAAATTATCGAAGGGCAAAACAGCATCTTAATCCGTGCTAAATTTGTGATGCAAGACTTGCAAGCTTTCCCCTTTCCCTATTGCTGTTTTTGCATGACAAATTCATGTAACAGTTGAGGATGTAACAGTTGAGAGCGCCATACAGCCCCTTGTCCGCGTCGAACATCGATTCCGGCGGCCGCTCGCACCTCCCGAGCAGCCCGGCGTCGCGCGCGAATTGCTCCTCGTTCAGCTTGATCGGACTGTACTCGTTGGTCCAGTAGTACAGCCACTTGTCCATCCACCACTCCACGTTTGGCGTCGCGCAGTACGCCTCGTTGAACATGAAGGCGATGTCGCGCAGCTTGAGCGAGATCTGCCACTTCGTGATGCAGGGAGAGGCACGGCGCGCGCGCTGGAACATGGCCCGCATCGTCTCCGCCTGCGTCACGTCCCAGTCCCGAACGCATCCTGTGGAAAAACGTCCCCGCCCCATAGAAGTTGTCATGCTAAACAGAAGCGCGGCACACTTTGCCTCCCCCTGTGCAAACGGCCCGATGGTTGATGTCATGCAAATGCGCAACGACAGCAACACATGTAGTGCGCATCTCCATGAGAGGCATTTCCAGTCGTGTTTTGGCATTTGTAATGCTGTTAACAGGATAAGAAAATGGCTTTTTTGCGCGGCTTTCCTTGCTAGCCAGGACTAAACTGCACAGGAAACAACTTGTCATGCAGAACTCCCAAAACTTGGAGATTTGTGTTGCAGATTTCACATCTTGCCTATGGTGTGGGGACGTTTTTATATGGGATAGAATGTCGGGGATCGCCACGTCGGTGTCCGCGAAGACTCCCTCGAACGAGTATCAAAATGAAAAATCCCCCCTCCCCATATCAAAATGGAGCTCTGTGATGCGGGATTTGTGTACACAAATCATTTTGTCATGCTAGAAGCGAAAAAGTGCGGACTGTAGTGCTGTAGGGCGTGGAAAAAGCCTTGCAGCTACAGCATGACAGGAGGCAGGTGGAAGTGGGAAACAGCATGGCAAATTGCCTACAAACGAGGCCACGACTGCGTCTCTGGGCCTTCTAGCAATGCAAGTCGATTTGTGTACTCAAATACAGCATCACAAATTTAGTTTTCGATATGCGGAGGGGGGATTTTTCCTTTTGATAACGAGGTCACCTTGCCCACGTTCCAGACTTTCACGTCGGGATTGGCGGCCGCGGCGCCGCGAAAAGTGTAAGCGACGGTTGTGACTTTGTGTAGGTTCCAGGTCCGCACGTCGGGAGTGGCCGTGCGCGCGTTGTCAAACATGTGAGATAGGTTTCGTACGCTGACGAGGTCCCACGCCGCAACATTTGGTCTGGTCAGCGAGCTGTTGCGAAACATCGCTGACAACGTTGTGACCTTGCGGATGTCCCACCCGCCAAATGCGTCGTCCGGGGCGCGCGCCGAACTACTACTAGGGTCGACGTGGGCCTCGTCGACCCCAAAGGGGAACGACTGAAGCATCGGCGTGTCCTGGAACAGGGACGCGAGGTTGGTCACCTGGGAAACATCCCACTGCTCCAACCCGGTCACATTCTCGAGGGTGACCGCCCGGTCAAACAGGTTCTCCATGGTCGTCACCTTCTTCGTATCCCAGGTCTGCACGTCCGCGGCTTGCAGCGACGCTGCACCCTGCAAGAAGTTGCGGAGGTTCGTAGCGTTCTCCCAGTGCCTGTCAAACACGGCGGGTACGGGAAGCGTTTGCAAGAAAGCAGCCTCCTGGAACAAGTTTGGCAGCAGCGTCGACCCATGCTTGCCGAGCGACTTCAGCGCCCGGATGGATTACTACAGTGAAAAGTTCCCCCCACCCATGAAATTGCAAAAATTTGTGATGCGAAGTTTCCAAATGGAAACTTTTTGTCATGCATGAAAGGAGTATGAATCTTTCTGATGCAGAGTCGAGGCGTGTATCGCATCGCTTGCATGACAAGCGCCGCTCTTGCTGGGGTCTTTTGCAATACAAATTTTTGCAGCTATTCACGATCGGAAACCTGTGATGCTGATAGATGCAAGCGGGCGAGTGTTTCATTTGGAAAGGTTTACAATACAAATGCTCCCAAGTTCGGGGGTGAGGGCATTTTTCATTGTAATATGGATCGCTTGAAGTTCAGGTACTCCTCGCGAACTTGCAGCAAGGCCGCATTACTCGGCGTGGTGGTGCTTCTTGAGGCAGCTGCTGCACCCCCGCTTCGGGGGCTCGTGTCGTTGGACAAAAACTTCTCGAGCTCGAGCAAATCCCCCAGCCACCGCAGGTCCCCACGAATCACAATCGAGTATTGTCCCGTCTGCGTAAAGAGGTGCCTGTTTGCCTTCGGCAGGTGACCAGCGTCCACGAACCAGTGCTGCCGATACTGGTCCGCGTATGGGAGCTGCTGCGCCACGCTGCTGTTAGTCGCTGCCGCATCGTAGCTGCTGTACACGGCGCTCTCGCTTGCGTCTGCAGTGTCCGCGCTATGGTAGGTGTTCCACACGCGGTCCTCCCACAGCGGGTCGGGCTCGGAATGCAGGTCTGAGTAGTATATCGTATAGTTGGCGTCCATATCAAAGAGAAAAAAGCCTCCGCCCTGTATCAAAGCGGAAATCTGTGTATGCAGATTTGTGGCCAGAAATCAGCTTTGTCATGCTAGAAGGGAAAAGATGCGAAGGACTGTAGTGCTGGGCTGCGTGGGAAAGCCTTGCATCTTCAGCATGACAGGAGGCAGCTGGAAGTGGGAAACAGCATGACAAATTGCCTGCAAACGAGGCCACAACTGCGCCTCTTTGTTCCATTCTAGCAATGCAAGTCGATTTGTGTACTCAAATACAGCATCACAAATTTCGTTTTCGATATGGGTAGGGGGGATTTTTCGTCACGATAGTCGACGACGGGAATTCGTATCCGCGTGTTCGGCTCCGTGATTTCGATGTCCACGCGGAAGGGGTCATCGTCGAGGCAGGTCAGGTCGATGCCATTCGGGTTGTTGCTGTCAAAATTTCGGTAACTACTGGTCTCGCGAAAGCCCGGCCTCGTGCACAAATGGGCGATGCCGGCGTTCAGCGCCCAGCGCTGTGTACTGTTTTCCGAGTCGACTTTGGTCTCGAACAGCCGGGCGCTGTCGATACCCCAGTAGTTCACGTTCGGCGTGGCGCAGTAGGCGTTGTGAAAAAGGCCTCGAAAATCCGTTGCAGCACTGGGCTGCCAGAAGGTCGTGCAGGGCTTTGCAACGTGCGCGTCCTTGAACAGGTTCTCCATGACCTCCAAGTTACGCACGTCCCACAGCGTCACATTCGGCTCGGCGTTCGTCGCGTTGTCAAACATGGACTTTGCGGTCCTCGCGCTGGACATGTCCCAAAATTGCACGTCCGGGTCGGTCAGGACGTTGTCGGCGAACATGAAGTCAAACGTGGTGCCCCGGGCAACGTTCCAGTTGGTCACGTTCAGCGTCGCCCCCTCGGTCAGCGTTTGGAAGGTGCGGGAGAAGTCACGGACGTTGTGGACCTCCCAGATGCTGACGTCCGGCGTCCCGGATTCCGCTGATCGAAACATGCCGGAAATGGTTGTCGCCTTCTGCGTATCAAATGCAAATATGTCTGAGATTTGTCATGCAGTTTTATTTCCAAGCTCCGCCAAGTCTGGAAAAATGCAGGGCCTAGCATCACAGGATCCGCAGCCCCTTTGTGTTGATGCCTGTTCTGCATGAGAAATGCTCATCTCTCAGCATGGCCAGAAGTGAGCACCTTTTGCAAGTCACGCAACACAGATTTTTGTATGATCCGCAACATGCACCACAAGTTCATCGCACCCTTCCAGACCCAGCAGAGGACATATTTGCAATGCATACTGCATTTGCCAGTCTTTGAAGCCGACCGAGCCCGGCTCTCCCGCGTCGTCCAGCGGCAACCGGGTGGTCCGACGAAAGGCCTCCGAAAAGTCGGTCACCTGCGAGACGTCGAAGTGCTATGAACTGCAAAAGGATCGTACTAGTAGTAATTGCAATACAAATTAGCTCAGCATTACAAATGGAATTTGTCATGCTGTTTTGCCTTGGGGTGAAGATTCGTAATGCATGACTGCGATTAATACGAGTACGATACTTTTGCACAGGATAAGTGCTGCAGCCCGTCGATTCTGGTCAAGCTGCTCGCGTACCGGAAAAGTGACCGGAAGTTTGTGATCGTAGAAACGGACCAGGTGCTCGCATTCACTTGCGGAAGGCTGTTCGCGTTTTCAAACATGCCGTTCATGGTTCTCACTTTGGCCCAGTACTTGTAAAAAACGCCGTATTTTGGCAGCTGGATCAGGTTGGTGCTGTCCTGAAACAAACACCGAAAAAGCAACTCCCCGTCCTGCCCCAGGCACTTCAGGTCTTTGTAGCTTTTTTTCAGGTTTCGCACTGCATCACCGTTGCCGAAGAAGCTGGAAGTGGCACCCGCACCCGCGTCGATCGGTACAAAGTGGTCCCCCGTCACTGCAGTGTCATTTTCGTACAGGTTCGCCCAGGGTTGCAGTTTGCCGCGGAGCACCACTTGGTAGGTGCCGGTGGATTGGTAGGTGTGCTTCGCGTTGCGCGCACGTGGCTGGTTTATTCCGTGATAGTCACTCCACACAAGGTCACCGAGTTCGTGGTACGCCCGGTTTGCCTCGCCCCAATGCACCGTGAACTGCGCACTTGACCCGTTGTTTGTTAGCGGAAGCTGGACCTCGAGCGGCGCGGTCGTGACCTGGATTTCTACCCGGAAGGGGTCGTCTCCCGGGCACCACGTGTCGCGTCCGTCGAACGGTTCCCACGGCTGCGTGTTCGCTTGGCAAGCGGTCAGCACGCCAGAGTTGCTGGCCCAGTCCGCGGCCCCTTGCAGGTTGTCAACGCTCCAGTAGGCCAGGTTCGGCGTCGCACAAACGGCGTTCTGGAAGGTGCGGTTCAAGTAGCGGAGCAGGGTTGTGTTCCACGTAGTCACGCACGGCTTGGCGATTTGCGCGTCGAGAAAGAGCTCCATCGCGTTCTCCAGCGACCGCACGTCTATCAAATGCAAAAATGTCTGGGTCTGGAAACTTGTGATGCTGGCTGGCGTATCATGAGGAGGCCACAAGTACTGGCTCAGCATGACAAGTTTGTTTCTGAGCTTCTAGGTGTTCTCTATTCTGCATGACAAACTGCGTTTCTGCATGACAGAAAAGTGGCGCTCTTGGGTAACGTGCATGACAGATTTGAGCGTCATGCCAGACAAGCATGACAGACATGCACTCTTCCAGACCCAGACATTTTTACAGTTGATAACGTCCCAAAAGGTAACATTGGGATCGGCAACGGTCGTGCCCTGAAACATGCCCTGCATCGAGGTCACCTTGCGCACGTCCCAGTCTTCCACCCTCGGGTTCGCTGCGGCCGCGTCGTGGAACATGCGGTAAAAGTCACGCCCGGACCCCGTGTCCCACACCTTCACATCGGGATCCGCCGTGCCCGTCGTGGAGAACATCTCGGAAAAATCGGTGCCCGCGCCGACGTTCCAAGCCGCGACCTCGGGATTCGCGCTGCTCGCGCGCATCCACATCTGGACGAAGGAGCGAACGTTCCCGACGTGCCACTTCGCCGTTTGCGGGGTCACCTTCTTTGCGCCCGCAAACATGGAAGCAACCGTGGTTACCTTTCCCAGGTCCCAGTCCTGCAGCGCGGTCGTCATCTGGAGCGTCTCCGCCTCCTGGAACATGCCCTGCAAGTCTTTCGCCGCCCCGATTTGCCAGTTCTGGAGTCCGATGATCGTTTGCAATTTGTCCGCGCTGCGGAACAGCTCCACAAAACTTGTCACAGCTGCCGTGTCCCACATAGAGACATCCATCGTCGTAAGCGCCGAGGCGAAGTGAAACATCCGGTCCAACCTTTTGACCTGACTCCAGTGGCGTTCAAACTTCGTGTAGGCCGGGAGCGCGGTGACCTTCGTGCTGAGCTGGTAGAGCCGGGAGAACAACTTGTAGCCGCTCTGCGTGCCGAGATTCTGCACCATGCTGAAGCTGGACTTCCAGTTTGTCTTGGCTTCCTCGCCAACCCAAACTTTTCGATACAGTGTGCCACCATCCTTATCTGCAAAATCTTCGAGGCCGTTCCCGCAGCGGCGGAAGTGCGCACACATGTAGGCGGTCCCACCCGCTTGCCCGTCGAACCGCCACATGTAAAAACTGCACTCGGGGTTGTTGGCACAGTTCTGACCGCACACCGCAGAGGAACTACAATCGTTCATCGGGGTACCCGGGTCAACGCCCTGCAACACAAATGGCCTGCCGTTGACGCTGCCGCTGCAGTCGATCGTCGAGAAAGCGTGGGACCGAAAAATAATCCAGTCCGCGTCACCATCCTGAATGCAGTACTTATCCAGCCCGATTTGCTCGTACTTGTACTTTTGGGAACTCGCAGCAGAAGTGTAGATGGTCGACAAAAGCCGGCGGCCACCTGCTCCCTCGCCTGCAGCTGCGCGTGCGCGCTCTGCGATATTATTATTTCCTGGCTCGCCCTCTCCATTGTCGTCGGCTGTGGTCTCTGACAGCAACCTACGCGAGGATCCGCTCCCGGAGGCCGTGGGGTCTTCGGTTGGAATATCGTCCCAGCCCCTCACCACCCCCCGAATAACGACAGAAAAAGTTCCACTGCTTTGGTACGTATGGTTCACAGCCTGCAAGGCAGCGTCGTTCGCCCTGTAGATGTTCTCGCCGAGTGTCGTCGTGTCCCCGTCCCCCCAATGCACTGTATACGCGTTCGCAGCCTCGGCTTTGGGAATGGGCAACTTGACTTCGTAAGGAGAGGTTGGGACCACGATATCCACGCGGAACGGGTCGTCTTCAGGACAGTCAACATCATGCCCATCGGTGTTGTCGAATAACTGTCCCCCATTGCTGTCATAATCGGCGCAGGAAGCCAACAACGTTCCGGCACCGCTCGCAAACTCGGTCCCTGCATCCGTCAAGTTGGATAAGTTCCAACCAGCAACATTCGGCGTTGCGCAGGGGGCCTGAAAAAAGATCGCAGCCATCTGTGCCAGTGAGTCCGTGCGCCACTTGGAAACGCAGGGCCGCGCCCGGGACGCCTGTCGAAACATGCTCTGCATGTTCATAACCTTCCGCACATCCCACTCTGTCACGTTGGGCCTCGCGTTTGTCGCACTTTCAAACATCTGCTGCATCTCCCGAGCTTGGGCGACGTCCCAGTCTTGCACAAGGGGGTTGGCCTTCTGGGTATCCTTGAACATGCTGTCAAAATTCTCTCCACTCGAAGTGGCCCACAGTTCCGTATCAGGCACGGCGAGAGCAGCGCCTTCAAACATGGAAGTAAAGGTGGTAACTTTGGCAGTGTTCCAGTTGCCGACATTCAGCGCCTCCGCAACGCGTGCCTTGTACAGGAACCGTTCGAAGGACTCGATACTCTGAACGTTCCAATTCCCTATCGTCGGGTTCACCTTTGAGGCTTCGTAAAACATTTCCGCCATGCTTGTCACTTTGGAAAGAGCCCACGAAGAGGTTTGCCCCGTTAGCTGCAGCACGTCGGCGTTGCGAAACATCCTCGTTAGGTCCTTTGCGGCACTAAGGTCCCAGTTTTCCAAGCCGCTTACTGTCGCCAGCTTGCTGACCCCTCGGAACATTTCCGTAAGGCTTGTGACAGCCGCAGTGTCCCATGTCGAAGCGTCGAAGGTTTGCAGTGCTGACGCGCCTTCGAACATTTCGTCCAGGCTACTCACCTTGCTCCAGTGCCTCTGGAACCGGCTCGCTGCCGGGAGCGCAGTGACCTTCGTGCTCATCTGGTAGAGCCGGGAGAACAACTTGTAGCCGCTTTGTGTGCCGAGATTCTGGACCATGCTGAAGCTGGACTTCCAATTCGTTGCGGGACCACTGACGTCGCTCGGAGTATCCGTCCAACCTCCCACCGCACCACGGAGGACGACCGAAAATGTTCCCGTGCTTTGGTAGGTGTGGTTCACGGCCTGCAAATTGGCGTCGCTCGATTTGTACACAATGTCCGCCAGCTCGGTAGCAGTCCCGTCGCCCCAGTGGATGGTATACACGTTTCCAGCGTCGGTCTTCGAAACTGGTAATGTGACTTGGTACGGCGCGGACGGTACCTCGATGTCCACGCGAAACGGGTCGTCCAGCGGACAGGTGGGGTCCACCCCCGTTGCAGTGTCGAAGAGCGTGTTCCCCACGACGTACTCGCTGCAACTCTGCAGCACGCCCGCGTTCTTCATGAAGTTCTGCGTCGAGGCCGTGCCGTCGAAGTTGGCGCGGTCCCAGTTCGCCAGGTTGGGGCTGGCGCACACTGCGTCCTCGAACATGTATTGAGAGGAAAAATCCCCCCTCCCCATATCGAAAAGGTATCTTCCCGAAAATTTGCGTTGCTGATTTGAGGTCACAAATCACATCTGTCTTGCGAGAAGACAAGGGCAGAAGCTTCCGCCCCATTATGGAAGCGATTTGTCATGCTGCTGGACCTAGAGGTCAGCCGTTTGCAATGCTGAACAACTAGACCCATACGCCCCTACCTAGCCTGGGGATCTGGCCGCCATGCCTTCCTGCAATACAAATCTGATTTGTGTACGCAAATCCAGCATCACAGATTTCCTTTTTGACATGGGGTGGGGCCTTTTTTCACACACTTTGATAACATGGAGGTGATGTTTTCTAGCGAGCTGGTGGCCCAGAAAGAGACGCAGGGGTTGGCTGCGGTTGCGCCCTGGAACATGCCCGTCATGTCCGTCACTTTCCGCACGTCCCAATACGTGACGTTCGGCTTCGCCTCGGTGGCGTTTTGCAAGAAGCCGGTGAAGTCCGTGGCGCTGACCAGGTCCCAGTCGTGCACCTGCGGGTCCGCGACCGCGGCGTCTTCGAACATACTGCTGAGCCGTATCCTGTGGAAAAACGGGGCCCACACGACCCCAGAGTCAAGATTTGGAATTTCTGCAACACAAATCCAGACGTTCTGGAAGTCACGCATGACAAGTTCCAGGGTGAAGATGCGTAGTGCAGGTTAGTAAGGGCAGCCGCATTACAAATCCACCTGCTCATAATCCTGTTTACAGCATCACAAATTCCAAAACATGACTGAAAATCCTTGTCAACATGAGGAGGCGCATTATCATCATCATCATCATCATGTAGTGGACACCCGCTCCCAGCGCCAGGTAGTGGACACCCGCTCCCAGGCGCATTATCATCATCATCATCATCATGTAGTGGACACCCGCATCACAAGTGTTCCTGCCATTGCAAATCTGCATGACAACTCTGGGGTGGGGACGTAGTTTTTCCACAGGATAAACCGCCGCCCGGCAGACACGTCCCAAAGGGACACGTCGGGGTCCGCCACCTGGGCGTGTCGGAACATGTTGGAAAACTCCGTGCACGCCGAGACGGCCCAGCTCCGCACGTCCGGGTTCGCGGTCCCCGTGTTGCGAAACATACTCTCCATGCTTTTCACCTCGGCCACGTTCCACGCCGAGACCCCGGGGTGGAACGCGTCCGTATTCTGGAATGCAAAATCCAATCTCGTGACTTTACCCACGTTCCAGGTCGTGACGTCGGAGTTGCCGGCGCTGGTGGCGCGGAGTTCCTTGTTGAAGGAAAACATGTGGGTCAAGTCCTTGGCGGACCCCAGGTCCCACGTGTCCAGGTCCGTGATCTATCCTGATTAAAAACGTCCCCACACCAGAGTCAAGATGGGAAATCTGCTAGAAAGCTAGTTGAACTAGCTTTCGTTGTTTGGCATGACAAGTTTGCCCTCGTGATGTATTAATCCTGTTTAGCTAGTTCAGAAGCATCACAGATCTAGCATAGCATGGTGATCCTAGCATCACAAATTCCAAAACACGGCTTCTCATAGAGCTCCGCATGAGAAACTTTATTGGCATGCAGAATTGTATGACAACTATGGGGTGGGGATGTTTTTACACGGGATATGATCTGTTGCAGCTTCTCGCAGCCCTGGAACGAGTAGCTCAGGTCCGTCACTTATCAAATGTAAAAATGTCTGGGTCTGGAAGAATGCAACTTGTTGGTTGGTTGGTTGGTTGGATAGCGCCTGTCGCCGGTGCAGGTCCCGCCCTCCATCGATTGCGATCCGGAGTAGCCAGAACACAAGGCCCTAGTGGCACAATCGATCGACGAAGCCCTTTATAACCAGGTCACGGACATCCGGCTGCCGTGGAGTCATTCGCGGGATTCGCGCTTGTGATGCTGAATTTGGATTCCAAAAAAATCTGTATTGCATGAGCAGCAGTGGGAGCGTAATGCTTGCTACGCGGAGAGGGCATTTGTCATGCGGAATAGGCATCAAGAAGCCCTCAAAAAATCCGTGATGATAGGGCATGCATCACAGACATCATGGCTCATGCAAAATGTGCATGACAAGTCTCAGAATCTTCCAGACCCAGACATTTTTACATTTGATATCACTTTGGACAAGTCCCACCCGGTGCCATTCACGGTCACGATATTGTTGGCCGCTTCAAACATGTTCGCGATAGAGGTGATGGGGCTGCGCCAGTGGCGCGCCAGCACTTCTGGGCTGGGGGTATGCGGGAGCTGGGTAGCGTACTGAAAGAGCCGGGGAAACAGTTTGTAACCGGACTGCGTGCCCAGGTTCTTTAGCTCGTAGTAGCTATTCTTGAAGTTGCGCTTTTGCTCAATGGCAGGGTTCCAGATATTGTCCACCCAAGACTGGCCCGTCGTCGCATCCAGCGGCTCGCGGTTGACCGTCTCCCAGCCAGCGATTGCGCCGCGGACGGTCACCGAATAAAAGCCGATGCTCTGGTAGGTGTGGCGGGGTGCCGTGTGTGGTGCGTACATGACCGGAATACGAAGGTTGTTGCGGTTGGGATAGACACCCAGGCACCAGATGCGGACGTTCCCGGTGTACGAGTGCGTCCACGGGTTTCCCCCATTCCACCGTGCGACTCCGTCCACCGTCGCGGTTATCTGGTTGCTGTTTACCTCCACCCGGTACGTGTGGTAGTTTCCGTCCGCGAGATGGCTTGAGGAGCCGTATTTATTCGTGGTGCTGCCAAACGCGCCGCCCTCCGTGCCGTACTTGCCGGGGCTAAAATCCGGCGACAGGGTGTGCCGTGCCCGGCCGCCCTCATGTTCCAACCAAAACTTCAAGCCGAGAGCGGTTCCGTCGATCTTCGTTAGCTTCAAGCGCACCTCCCAAACCTGTATGTTCACACCATCAGGGACCTGGTACTGTATCCCAGGCTTCGACGAAGTGCTCTGGTACTGGTTGCATTTGTAGTGCGTCCCGTCGTTCGTCGTCGTCGTCACCCCTTGGCAGGTGTTGATGATGTCGAGCTGGGAGAGGGGGACATACTTTCCGTCGTGCTTCCAGTCTAGCAGGACTTCGTTTTCCACCGGGTTGGATGCCTCTCCCCAGTAGGTCGTCAGGTCGCCGTACTCGGTGATAGGTAGGGCGACCGTCAGCGGCGCCTGGGTGACGTGCAGATCGATTATCCTGAGTAAAACCGTCCCCACCCCAACATACTTGTCATGCAGATCTGCATGCTGAAAATGTTTGCTATGCGGAGCCCCATGAGAAGCATTTTCTAGTCGCGTTGTGGAGTTTGTGATGCTAGAATCAGCATGATGTGCTAGATCTGTGATGCTGCTGAATTAGCTAAACAAGATGAGGCTACGAAGACAAACTTGTCATGCATAACTCCCAAAACTTGGAGACTTGTGTTGCAGATTTGCCTACTTGACTATGGTGTGGGGACGTTTTTCCTCACAATATCGATGCGAAACGGATCATCCCCCGGGCAGTGGACGTCCTCGCCGGTGACTGGATCGAAGGCCAGGCTCAGGTCCTGGGGGCACAGGTGAAGCAGCCCTGCGTCGAGCGCCCAGTCTGTGCGGGGCAGGTCCTGCAGGTCCTTGGTGCTCAACACGGACCATCGTGCGATGTTTGGGGTCGCGCAGTACGCTTCCTTGAAGATCTCGACCATGGTCTTCATCGAGTTCACGTTCCAAAAGGTCGTGCACGGCTTGGCCCGCACGGCTTGGTGAAAGAGGTAACTGAAGTCTGTGACGCCGCTCACGTCCCAGTACGTCACGTTCACGGAGTGCGCGTTGCTCGCGTTTTGAAACATGCGAGTCAGCGACTTAGCCTTCTGCAAGTTCCAGTCCCGCACATCCGGATTCGCGACAACCGCTTGCTGGAACATGCCGTCAAATGTGACTCCCGCAGCAGTGCTCCACAGCCTGACGTCCGGTTCGGCCACGCTGGTGGCCGCGAACATCTCGGTGAAATCGGTGCAGGCACTGACGTCCCAGGAGGCGACGTCCGGGTTCGCGCCCGCGGCGCGGCTAAACATGCGGCTCAGTGTGGCCACCTTGGCGGTGTTCCACTTCGCGGTCACCGGGTCGGCGGCGCTGCCGGTGTCCTGGAACATGTTTTCCATTGACGTCACCGACTGCGTGTTCCAGTTCTCCGTTTCTGCAGCCACCGACAAGGACGGAGAGTTCTCGAACATGCCCGTCATGTCCTGCACCTTTCCAGTGTCCAAGTTCGCCATGCCCACAACACGGACCAGGTTCGCGTTGCCCCGAAACATAGAACTCATGTCGGTCACGGCCCCCGTTCCCCAGGACGTTACGTCCGCGACCGCCAGGGAGGCGCAATCCTCAAACATGGAGCGCAGCGAGGTGACGAGCCCCCCATCCCAGAAGCGCTGCAACCGCGGCCCCGGCGGGTGCTGGCGGACCTGTTCCGCGCGCTGCAGCAGGTACGCAAAGAGGTGGTGCCCCGACTGCGTGCCCAGGTTCTGCACGGTCCGCAGTGCCTGCTTCCAGTTATTCTTCAGCTCGTCCCCTTCGGAGCGGACCACGGTGTCGTTCCAACCGGTCAGAGCGCCCCGGATCACGACGGAGTAACTGCCAACTGCGGTGTAGGTGTGGCGCAACGCCCGGTAGGGGTCCGCGGAGGTGTCATGATCACTTTTCTGGTAGTACAGACTACTAGCCAACGTCGCCTGCTCCCCGTCCCCCCAGAACACAGTGTACGCCAGCGCGGCGTCGGACGGCAACAGAGGCAGCTCCACCTCGTAGGGCGCGGCTGTCACCTCGATGTCAACCCGGAAGGGGTCATCGTCCGGGCAGCTGGTGTCGATGCCGGTGAGCGGGTCGAAGTGGCTCAGGTCCGGGCAGCTGGTATTCACGCCCGCGCCCGTCGCCCACTCGGTCGCGTCCGCCAGCTTATCCAAGAAAAAAACAGCATCACAATCACACTTTTTTAGTATGAGATCAACTATAAACCACAATTGATGAGAATTCGATCAGCTCCTGTAAAGAAGGTATGGGAAAGATAGGAAGCTGTATTCGTCTCCTCCTCCATCGCGGTTTATCGGATCAGCATGCGTCTTCGGGACTTGTCCAACAACTACAGAGGGCCATCTCTGAAGGAGTTTTAGCAAGCCAAGGCTCCTCTTCCTCGTTGGTACGTAATCGCTCCACCCCGTCACGCTCGGGAAGACACAGCCAGGGCGCGCCCAATCTTGCTACGCGAAGAAAGCGAGCACCCAAGAGACTGATTTTGTCTTCGACTCCATTAGCCTCTGCTATGTCTTGGCGGCTGTGTCACTATACCTGCTTTCCTCTTGCTCCGAGGTCCAAGCTGACTAGCCCGAAAAAAGCAATATTTTGGTAAAAACAGCTTTTTCAAAACATGTGCCACAAAACACGGACGACGCAACGAGTCATTTAGCTAGCTTCCATGGAAATAGATACGTCGAACTACACAACTATACTTGTTATTTTTTAATAATCAGCTTTATACTTCCACCATCCCTCACGCAACTCACTTTTATTTTCCACATCGCAAGTGAGCCTTTTTCTCACTGTCGTCTTTGTGTTTTTCATTTTTTTTCCTACAACAGTTTTCTACATTATCTTCAGATCTTTCCATGGAGGTAATTTCGGAGCTCAAGCTTAGCTGTTAGCGCAGCAAAATGCTTTTGAACATCCTTATTTGTAGTCATCCTCTGCATTGGATTTCGTAGCGTCCTCTTTCTTTCCTTCAGAACAAAAGTATCTCTAATCAGAATTCTATCAATTTCTACACTTACCAAAAAAAAAAGTTCTACTCACGCAGGCCCTATACTAATATACCCTGACCGCATTTGTTCCAGGAAACCGCGACAGCTCGAACCCAGAAACAGGCCCCGATGGTGAAAGGTGCTATTTTTCATTTTCCCTTTCCAGATGCTCCGCTCATCTGGAGAAGAATGCAGTCCACTTCTGCTTCTTCCGCGCCTATTCCTTCTAGCCTTCATCTGGGGAGCGGCATCGGTTCCCAGCTTAAGTAGCGCGGTCGTCGAAATTCTGCCTCTATCTTTCTAGTTTTTATTTTTTGCACTTGCTATCTCTTTTCCAGTTCTTAGTTGTCTTGTTCCAAAAAGATGCTCAAAATTAGTTCGATCTACTACATATTTGCACTCATATCTCTTTCAATTCTTTCAGTGGCTGTAAAAGTCTTATCATCTCATACGCAAGCTTCACATTCAAAATTACTACCAAAATAAACGCTGCTCCCGCTTACTCTCTTACCACATCAAAAAAGTATACTCTGGCTTCGACATCTTCAGGGAATCCATTTCAGTCTCACACCCAGAAACAGGTCTGCCAGACTTAGGCGCGGCATGTCCGTGCTCATGCTCTAGATGCTCCGCTCATCTAGTGAAGTTTACAGTCCGCCTCTGCAACTTCAGCACCTATATCCTCAGACCTTCATCCAGGGAGCATCATCGGGCTCAGGGAAGGAAACGCGGCCAGGTATACAAATTTTTTGTGTAGAAATGGGGAGACGCTATTTCCTCTTGTTGGAATTCATTTCTTCTGCCTTGCATGGAGCCTTGCCTATTCATACTAAAAAAAAAAAGTTCACTTCATTTAAGACATCTTGCCCCGGGAGTGTCATGCTAAAAACAAGAGCTCCAATCTTACACGTCCATCAAAAGTTCATTTTTAATCATCTTGCACACAAATCCTGAGGCTTCGAATACGTTGGGCAGTTGCGTCTTCTTTTTTTCTGGAGGAGTAATTTGCAATGCTATTTTTTCTAAATTGCGCTCTATCTCTTCTTTAGCAAAGGCCTTCAGAACTGGCTTCTTCTTATTCGCCTCGAGCAAAAACTTAAAGACATGCCGGGGCTGGCTCAGCACGTCCTTCTCGTTTTGAAGTGTGTCCTCCACCTCCTCGCACTGAAACACTCCGAGCCTCTCTTCCTTGAATACCTTGCAATTTAAGATCAGGCGTGTTGCATGAGAGGCACTTTTTTCCTTACAAAACTTGCATTCTTGCTGATATGTTTTTTCCCCTCTCGCATTTTTTCCGTGCTCCCCCACCCCTGCTCCCAAAATGTCCGTAGGCACTATTCCGCTCCATATGTAGTAGTAGTACATTTCTAGCAACCTCGCCGGGAAAACCTTCTTGCCTGGCCTGAATGGGCCGAGGCCCCTAATACGTTCCACCAACTGTGGCGCAGAGACAGCCCCTAATTGTTTCGGCCCTATAAGAAATCTCACTCTGTTAGTGATCAACCTCCGCAGGATTGTCGGCGTCAATTCTTTCATATAAACTAGAGAGCCCAATCCTAACTCTTGCGCCCTCCTAAACCTGTTCACCGCAGCCCCTGCAATGTAGTCCGCCGCGTCGTTGAAGTACAACCCTGCGTGTCCTGGCACCCACCTAGCTACGAATCTAGTTTCTTTCTCTGGACACACTGGCGGCATGCCTGCCTCTAGTGGATAGCTGCTTTTCCTCTGCATCACCACATTGCGCAACATCTCTAGCTGCTGGACAATGAAAAGCAACACTATATTCGATTTCTCCCCAAAACACTGCAGTCCTTCCAGCACTGAGTTCGGGTCTAGGTATATTGTTACCTCCTCTATCAGATCATAATTTCCCATGGTGGTCAACGTTTGAGCTGTTTTGTTCAGCTGTGTTGTCAGCGCAAAGCATTCTGTATCAAAAGAGTCAACTTTTAGATCTCTTACCGGCGACTTTACTACACACGTACTGCAACAAATAGGCTGCACCGATCTGATTGTCGTGCTAAGCTGTACCTCTTGACTCCACCACCACGCAGCCCCTCCTCCTCCTCCAATTTTACCTTCCCGGTTTGCCGATCCATCTGTGCAAATTATCAGCTCTGCAGTACTTTTGAGCTTCTGCCTTATTTCTTTTTCAATATCCTTCGCTATCATAAATCTAATGCGGTTTTTTTCATTTTCATCAGCTAATGCTGACAGCTGGCCATAGCCATACTTTTTTCCAACATCATCCATGGTGTCACAATACAAACGCACGCCATTCCATGGTCTTTTCAAAATTTTCATTGGAAACCGCTTGGCCGCATCATGAATGTCATCTAGCCTCATCTCTGAGATCGTGCGCATTACAGTGGACCACTTATTTTTGATTGGGTCAAAGGCAATCGGATTGCACGTCTTTGCTTCTTCTAAGTACTGCTGATGTCCCTGATCCAGAGTCTCGCCTTCTACGTCCCATACTCCCTGGGATTTTCCTCGATAGAATAACATTAGATTTTCTATCAAAAACATCAAGTGCGGTCTCAATAATCCTGATGATTCAAACATGACTGTTGTTGGGGCTGTTTTCGGGAGATTCAGAATCGCTTTCAGCCTGTTTGCTATAAGCTCTTCCAGATCAATTTTGGCGCTTTTTCGGAAAAAAGGATATTGCGGAGATCCATTCGAAGATAAAGCAGAATAGCAAAGAGCTCGGAAGACATCGCACTTCGCTGTTACTCGCAGTGTCTTTAGCCCCATAACAACCCCGGCCTCCTTTTTTGCATCTGCAAAAATTTTGGCAAACATTGCTTCATGCGTCCACGTCCCATCAAAAAGAAACCCCAGGCTTAGGAGGTTTTGCATCAGAAATTTGTCTCGAGTGGCAAATTTTTCTTGTATTGCAAAAACACAAAGGGAAATCGCCTACCACTCTGGACTGTG